ATTCATTATATGCAAAGACCTCTCAAAATTCAACAATCAGCAAATAAACTATACTGTTAAAAATTGGTCAGTAGTATTTCATTGTGTAAATGTCCTATAATATGCTACTCAGCCATAAAAAAGAAGAAAATTCTACTTTTTGTGACAGTATGGCTGGACCTGGAGACCATTATGCTAAGTGAAATAAGCCAGTCAGAGAAAGACAAATACCGTATGATCTCACTTACATGTGGAATCTAATAAACAAACTGAACTAACAAGCAAAACAGAGACAGGCTCATAGATAGAGAGCAGGATGACAGCTAGTGGGGGTGGTTAGGGGGTAGGGAGATTGAGCAAAAAGGAAAAAGGGCTCATGGACGTGGACAACAGTGTGGTGATTGCTGAGTCGGGGAAAGGAGAGTGTAAGGAGGATAAATGGTCATGGAAAAAATACAATAAAAAATCAGTTAAAAAAAAAACTGGTCAGAACACTTGAACAAACACTTGCGAAAAGAAATACAATGATGGCGAAAAGCCTATGTTCAACCTCATTAGCCATTAGGGAAAGGCAAATTAAAATAAGTTACCACTCCACAACTCTTACAGTGACTAAAATAAAAAGTAAAAAGAGATTGACTATATTAAGGGTTGGCAAGCATTCAGAGAAAGCGATCATATATTGTGAGTGGGAATGCAAAATGGTATAGCCGCTCTGAAAACATTTGGGCAGTTTCTTATAAAGTTACACATAACACCATATGACTCAGCAATCCCACTCCTGGCTGTAAAGCCCAGAGAACTGAAAACCAATGTTCACGCAAGTATCTATGCAAAAATGTTTATAGCGGCTCTATTCATATTTGCAAACAGAAAACAAAAAATAACTGAAAAGAACCCAAATGTTCTTCAGTGGATGAATGGATAACTAAACTGTGCATAGTCTTAGAATGGGATACTAATTGGTGAGAAAAAAAGAACACAGTGCTGATAGAGCAGCACCCGCTTACCTGGAGGAGATACCTTCCAAGACCCCTAGTGGAAACCTGAAACCACAGATAGTACCAAGCCCTATATATACTATGTTTTTCCTTTGCATATACACGTATGATAAAGTTTGTTAGGTGCAGTAAGAGATTAACGACAATTATTAATAATAAAATAAAACAATAGCTTGTAATAAAAGTTATACGATTGTGGTCTCTTTCTGTCTCTCTCAAAATATCTTATTGTACTGTGCTCACCTTTCTGTTTCTTGTGATAATGTGACATGAAAAAATGCCAAACCTATTCCTGGATCTGTGTAAACACCTCTTGCCGTAAATGGCTTGGGGTGTCTAATTTCAGGGATCCCTTGCTGAAGTCTTTGTATAGGCTCAATGCTTTCTGGTGCAACACATTGCTGTCAGTCAGAACATGTTTTCTGTTCATATCTTCTACCCCCAAATTTAATGCCTTTTCCATCTTAACTAAGCATTTATCATGCATCATGGCTGTAACTTTTGCAGTCTGAGGGTAACAGCAAAATGAGCGCACATTTCTTTATCTTATTCACAATTTCACAGGTAGATAATTTGTTCTTACCATAGATTTTAGCAACCTCAGCCTAAGATTTCTTTCTTTGCTTACATTGAGAACTATCTCCTTTTCACTTAAAGGAAGTACTTTACAGCTTCTCTTAGGCCTATTTGTGTTGCCAGCATCTCTACTCTTGCATTTTTGGGCTTTTATTAAGTAAATAAGGGTTACTTGAACACAAGAACTGTGATACAGACACAGTTGATCTGATAAATGAGGCAGGTAGCTACTCAGTGACTAATGGAATAGGAAGTACAGTGTGGACATGCTTGGCATGGGGGCGATTCCCATCCTGGGCAGAATGGCATGGGCCACTGTGAGATTTCATCATGCCATGTAGAAGCTATGAATTGTTTATTTCTGGAACTTTCCATTTTATATTTTTGGACTTTGATCGAGGGCCGGTAGTTAAAACTGGGAACATTGACACTGCTAAATGTGAAACCATGGACGGGAAACTACTGAACATGCAGCAGCTCCCGTGACTCTCAGAGTTATTAAGCTGAGTGAAAAAGCCAGTTTCTGAAGGTTTAATACTGTGTGATTCTATTTGTATGACATTTCAAAAAGAAAATAATACGTATTTTTAGGGAATAGATTTGTGGTTGCCAGATGTAGGGTCAAAGAGGGAAGCAACTATAAAAAGCACAATAAAAAAACTGGTACATTTACACAATGGAATACTACGCAGCAGAAAGGAAGAAGGGGCTCTTATCTTTCATAAAAGCATGGATGGAACTAGAGAGGATTATGCTAAGTGAAATAAACCTGGCAGTAAAAGATAAATACACTATGATCTCTTCTATAAGTGGAACCTAATCAATAAAGCAAACAAGTGAGCAAAATATAACCAGTGACATTGTAATAAAGAACAAACCGGCAGTAACCAGATGGGAGCGCCGAGGGGGATAACGGTAAAGAAAGGGAGGTGTAATTAAGGAACAAGTATTAAGGACCCATGGACAAAAGCGATGGGGAAGGATTGAATGTGGGTGGTGGGGGTGGGTGGGGCAGGGGAGAGTAATAGGGGGAAAATGAGAACAACTGTAATTGTGCAACAAGAAAAAATAGATTAAAAAAATAGCACAAGTGAGTTGTGTGTTGAGATGAAACTATTCTGTATTTTGATTGTGGTGATGGTAACAGAAATCTATACATATGTTATAGTTTATAAACTGTATAATAAGAGAAAAAAGTCAATAGTATTGTGTGAAAATTCTAAGTATCAAAACTAAAAAATGAAATCAATATAGACTCAAGGATAATTATTTTAATCCTTGTTAAAACCCAATACAATTGTTATTTGTTTTAGCTCAAATTATCTCAGCTGTCTATCGGGACCTCTTTTACAGCTCCTGTGTAAATATGATTTTAATTGGCATTGTTTTATGAAGATTTTATCAATGAGATTCTAACCATAACCAAAAGGTCAAGAAAGGGCAATTGATTATATGATTGTTCATTGGAAAATGATTATACATCTGATTATTCAATTCTATTAGAGATAGCATCTCTTTGGTCTACATTAGTTCCTAATAGATTACTTCCTTTGATAGACATTCTCGCTTTGTTATAATTAATTCATATTTTCCACTTCAAGATGATACGTATTGATTTGTATACTTTTCTTTTTTAGCCTCACAGGATGCTTTTTTTAACTGATTTTTTCCACCAGCTAGTGCACTGAGTAGGTAGATACTTATTTGAGATCCAAAGAGATATGTTACTGACAATTACTTAACATTATTTATTAATTTATCAAAAGCAGAAAATTTCTTTGTGCTTTATACTAGGAATTGATACCAATATTTTAAAGCATAATTAAGGACTACATAATGCACTCGGTTAGCATTAATCTTGGTAATTAAATCATTATTTTCTTTACTAAGTAGAATACTTACTGACATAACTACTAAACAATTATGCTAACAAAGTAATATTTCTAAGTAAAACATTTAACATAATTTGAAGGAAAATTACTTGATACTGTATTTCAAAAGAATAATAAAATATCCATGGGCTCTTGGGACAATATCCTCTTGGAAATAGTGTAAACAATTGTAGGTATAATTAAAATGCATTTCAGGCTTACAAGCAGATTTCTGTTGCCCTCTTTAAAACATGTAAACTAATCCTTATAAATACCCATCATTTTCCCTAAGAAGAAAAAAGGAAAAACTTTTGTGGGAATGTGTGAAGGGCCGTGTGTGTGGTATGTGTGTGTGTGTGTGTTAAAATGCTGGCCCCTTTTCAGGTGGATTGGTATAGCCTAGATGCCATGTATCTTTTGAACCTTTAAAAGAATCGTTATTTGTGGGAATTGAACATGGTACAATTGCTACAGGCTATGGACAAAACAAACAAATACACAGAGAGATAGTTTAATTGATGCTGATAATAACAACAGGTTGACCCCAAGGCAGGCAGAAAATTGCAGGAAAAAAGGCTCCATTTTCTATACAATTATGAATGTGTTTTAATGTTTGTGATGCTTTGATTATCCATTTATAAACAGTAGTAGTAACAGCTATAACAAATCAAAATAATATCAGCATTACCTGAATCTCTTCTTCCTCTTCCTCTTCTCCCTAATATTACCATCTTTATACAAAAAGAGGTTACTTACTTCTCTGTGGAGGTGATTTCTCCTAATGATTTTGTATGAATATAAACCTACATGCTGGTCATTTCTATCCAAACCTCCCAGCTTTGAAATAAAGCCCAAGAAATATTTGTCTGTACTTTCCTCAAGAAAATTACTCCTTTTTATTTTTATTTTTTTCAGAGGGAAGTGCGAAAGAGGCCAGCACTTTCTGGCCTCTTTGATTCCCAGAGGTTGGAGTACAGTAATTGATTTCCCAAACCCATTGAGTCAAACATGAGACACAAGGATGAATAAAACATAGTCCTTGACCTCAAGTAGACTGACAAAGGATCATAACAGGAGAAGAATTCTGTAATGAATATACATACAAACATTAAAGTTTTAGAAAAGAATGAAGATGAACTAATTTTGTTGAGATTCAACACATTCTTTCCTAAAAGACTGAAACCAACCCTCTGAGAGGGAAGTGGCAATTTCTCACTTAGCAAAAGAGAAAACAAAATCCTTCAACAGATCATTCAATTTCACACTGCTAATGAGTAGCAGATTTAAGATTGGAAATGATGTCTCCCTGCATACTTACCCCCACCACTGCTCATAAACCTATGTATTCCATCATATCGACCAGAAGCAAAATTACAATTGAATATGGGCAGGGAAACAAACTCCTCCTGCAAGGATGCAGGTAGAATCAAGAAAGGTTTTGCATTAAAAAATGTTTGAAGGTTAAATAGGAGTTTTAGACATTGACAAGATGATGACCACTTGCGAAGGTTCAGAGACATGCTCACACATTTGATAGCAATCTATAATGTTTTTATTTGTGTGTTTTTTATTCCAGGGGAGAGCACTAATGCGGTCCCCCTCTACCATAAATTATGCAGTAGAGTTTCCCATGTTTGGAGAAATTGCAGAGGTCTGCACATCTGGAGAGCAATAGGTAAGTCTCGCCCTGGGAAAACCACCTTCATCTTCATGGTATGTCCCCTGCCAGGTAAGTATTCTTCACAGGTTTTGAAATTTTTAGAGAATGCATCCATAACTGAATTTTTATGCAAACAAGAACTAAGTAATTTAGTACATAAAGAATAAGCTACTTCAAGTAATTTCATAAATAGGAAAAATTAAAATAAAATCAGAAATGAAATACCAGATTAAAAAGCAGATTTTTTTTCTTTTTTTTAGTGTTAACATTTGTCCTCACTTTTTAAACTAACTTTTTGGGGGTAACATTGGTTAATAAAATTATATAGATTAAAATTATATAGATTTCATTTGTGCAATTGTATTTTTTTTTAATTACAGTTTACATTCAATACTATTTTGTAACAGTTTCAGTGCAAGGCATAGTGGTCAGAGAACCACGTATACTACAAAGTGCTCTCTCTGTTATCCCCAGGGCCCACCTGCCACCACATAGTCACCAAAATAGCATTGCCTGTATTCCTCAGGACGCGCTTCACATCATCGTGCTTATTATGTAACTACTCATTTGTATTCTTAATCCCTTCACCCTTTTCACCCAGTCCCCCCAAAGCATTCTTTTATTTGCAGAAACAACAAGGGGAAGGGCACTTTGTCTTCCAAGGACTCCTTGTTTGTTGCTCATTAAGAGCAATTACAGAGATGGTTACTTGAAAATATTCCTGATGATTATATTTATCCTTGATTATAGTTTAATTAATACAAACACAGGATGGGGCAAAAGTAGGTTTACAGTTGTGAGTACATGAGTTTATTCTTGTACTATTATTTATTAATTATTGTATTATTTTCCATATGAACAAAACCTACTCTTGCCCCACCCTGTATAATGAGACTATTTTCCACTGGCCTTGCGCTAGGAAAAATTTTTATGTGATATTTCCCTTTTAGGACCATTCCTTTACCTACCTTTAATATTTCCCTGTCTTCCTTTACAACAACATCATGAAGGGTCTAGCTTCTTACACTACATCAATACTTCCCTGTTTCTTTTAATGACAAAACCAAAATCTTACTTATCTCACTGATAAGATAAGAGTTCCCTGGTAAAGATCCTAATCTTAGAGACTGATGATTAAATAAAGTACTACAAATTTGAATTCAGTTGCTATGCTTAGAACACGCTATACCGTGAGCAAGTAGATTCCTCCTTAGAGATTCTAGAATAAAGATCAGTATCAGAAAAAATTTTAAAGAAATACCACATCAACAATTTAGAAATTAACTTGTATTAATTGAATAGATAGCTAAAAAGTAATTGCTAAAATTAAAAATAAAATTTTAATAACTATATTTTGCAATATAAAATAATTTTTTTTGCTAAGTAGAAAAGATAGTATTGCAATTAATAGCAACATTTATACAAAAACCTCTATGTATATGTATATACTATGTATACATGTGTGCATTTTTAAAGGAAATAGACACACAGCTGCTTTGAGAGTCTTAATGGGAATGGATTGATTTTAAAATCAAGGATAATACTTCCATATAATGATTAAAGAGTTTAGATTTCTTGAGAATGAAAATAGAGGAAAAATAAGTGAAAAGTAAATATTGGCTACGAGTGTATTTTAGTGTCTGTATACATATATAAAATTGTATACTTATACATGTAAATCATCATAAAGTAATAAATAACATTTTATTACAAATATATAAAATGTATTTCAATGTTCCTGTACAACAGCTAGAAAAATAGTCTTGTCTTTTTTTATTATTAAGTTGTTGCAGTTCTCACTTTTCTCCCCTTCCTCTCCTCATGCAGTCGCACCCTCTGGCCATCCCCAGCCAATCCTCATGTTGTTGTTAACATCCCCCGCCCCCTCTTCTTTCCAGCAGCTGTCAGTCTATTCTATGCATCTAAGCTTCTGTTACTATCTTGTTTGTTAGTTTGTTGTAAGGGAGGTCTTTATCGGATGAGAAATATATAACACATATAGGCATAAAGTTGAATTTTATTATTTACAGAAACTTTACATAGAAACTAAATATTCCTTTCATTGGAAGGTTTAAATGCAAATTTGAATAATTGGACATATAAACCATATCCCCAGAAGGGACTATTTTATATTACTAAAAATATAAGTTCTCAGTAATGCATATAAAGCATTACAATTTAAATAATTACATCAAAGTTGAACTTGGTATTATGATACTTAATAAAAAGTAAATTTGAAAGGTTCATTTAGAAGAAAATATGTAGAATTATGAAATAATTAAAAAGTGACTTGCCACATTAGATATTAGAAATATTATTTAGCATCAATACATAAAATACTACAGAATTTGTATAATATTTTAAACATTGAGTGAAATAAAAGGTCAAGATCTGAAATATCAATAGTGACATACCAACTCTTGTTATATAATAACATAAACCTTCCAAGGGAAAAATTAAAACAAAATGATTATATAAAATTATTATGTGAGTGTGTTTGTAACAATTATGGAAAATGTTATTTCTCTCTTAACATTTTAAATTAAAATACATGTCAGTGGCATTAAGTACTTAAAATGAACATTAAAAAATTAGGAAGTAATGAAATAGAATAATGAAAGTTCTTTGGTGGAATAGCATTTTTATTTTTTGGATTTTATAGGATAAATTATGATGAAATATGTGTGCATATTGATCTATGGGAAAGAATATAATTAAAACCTAAATTAAATTGTCGTAACTGGGATTTAGGCTCTTTCACAGGATTGCTAAGAAAGCATTCTGAGGCCTCGCACATGGGAGATTGTGCTGTGGCATGGTTTATTTGTATGTAAATAAATGTAAAATCTTAAGATATTATTTTACACAATGAAGTTAACAAACAAAACCCCAAAATACCCAAAGCTAGTGATATTGCAGAGAAATTGCCATATTTATTCATTACTGGTAATTTAATGATTCAGCACAGACTTTTTGAAAAGCAATATGGCAGAAAAATTAAGTTGCTTTAGACTTAAATACTGTATTTCCATTCCTATTTTGTCCCAAATAAAGGCAGTTTCTTTGGAAAAGATAATAATGTTGGGAAAAATAGAAGGAAGAAGGAAAAGAGGAAGACCAAATATGAGATGGGTTGACTCCATAAAGGAAGGCATCGGCATGAGGTGAGCAGGGATGTTGAAAAAATGACACTGTGGGCATCACTCATTCATAGAGGAGCCAGAAGTCAGAACTGACCCGATGGCAAGTAACACACACAGTCAAGCAAAAGCCATAATATCCTCAAATATGTTCATTGTAGCTTTAATAATTATAGCAAATCATGAATAAAAGTATTCAATATTAAAATATTTTACAAACATACAGCACAATCAAATAGAATGTGCATATGTACATGTGTGTATGTTATATCTATTACTATAAATATGAAGGAAATGTAGAAAAGCTAGAATGTTTATGACATAAGCTAGGTGAAAGACAGTATGAAATGCGTTAAATTAATGTTGCAAATATATAAACATATGTGTCACCAATCATTGACAGTGGATAATAATAGGTTAACTGCATAAACTAACCAACATTAATTTATTGGCTTATTAATATGTTAACATAAAAGGTAATAAATTCCTTGACTCAGATCTCTGCCATTCTGCTCATTTAAACTATCTGCTGGGCAAATACCATCATTTATATCCTGACTATATAAAAAAATAATGTATTTTCTTAAACCAAATGATTACATTTTTAAGAACAATGATTCAACTGAAAATCATAGTAACAATTTTGAATACTATACTAGGTGATATACACTTTAATCTGGTGGGCTTTTCTCTATACTCAAATGTTATACCTGAATATCAATGCATTGAATCCAAATACAGGGTTTATTTTTATTAATATGATAATGAGTTTTAAAGGAGGTAGAACCATGATTTGTTAATTGCCAGATAATTCCATTGATCCATTCATTTGCCCATTCTTAATATAAATATTTCTTGTGTCTTTATTATGTGCTTGAAACTGCCTCTGGTATTATTGAACTTACACTTTTAGAGAAGAAAGGCAGTTCCAGGGCCTCATTGGTGCCCTGCCTAGCTCCTCTTGGAACCTTTTAAAGATTTGGTGTACCTACCCCCTACTGCCAATAGTAGCATTTTATGGTAATGATTCACATCTGTAACCTTCCCTAAAACCTTGCTCTGAGGATACTGTAGTCCTCTTGCTTGGAGATGCCCGGGAATTAAGCCTTTGCCTCTCCCCTGTCTTGAGGCAGCCTGTATGCGAAGGCTGATTGATGCTGTGTGTAAAAGTCCAATAACCTTACTTCAAGACAGCATATACTCTGTGGGACAATTTATGTTTCAAAGCTTCCCTGTGTGATGAGGCTGAAGCTGAACTTCACTCTAACTACACCTTTGCTTAACTTCCTCCTCTTCCCTGTCCTCTTCCCTCACTCCCATGTAGGTTTCTTCTGAGAGCTCACTCTTAATAAGCTACTTGCCTCATGAATCCCATGTCAGGCTCTGCTTATAGAGAATCCAATCTAAGATAATGATTAAACAAGTAATTACAATTATGTATTATGTGTGTTGTGAACAGTGAAGAGCAGAAAGCTCTGGGTATACAATGTAGAAGTTTTATCTTAGAGTAGAGGGTCAGGGTTATCCTCCCTGAGGAAAGAACATTTAAATTGAGCCCCTACTTCTTTTATCTATCTTGTTTTAAAGTAGCATGGCCTGCATTTGTGAAGTGTCTGCCATAGCTGATGCCTAATAGTTGGTCCATCTCATGGCTGAGCCCTTTTGCTCATTAGCTTCAAACTATGAACACTGGTCACTGATAAGAATGAAACCACCATAGAAAGTGACATTACTTGGGCATGCTACCCATCTCTGTACATTAGGAACTGTTTTAGGAAACATCCACGACACTCTGTGATTGTGGACGTCCTTCAACCTGCATGTGTATACACACATACATGTAGTTCTCCACATATGTACACAAATAACTAGCATACTCATTTTGGTAATAAAAACTGGCTAGTAGAATTTGGGTGGTGAACAAAATAATACTATGT